TCTGTTGCCAAGTCTCTCTGTATGTCTCTAAACATGTTAGCTTCTTTGGCACGCACTTGGGGTGCTTTGTCCCCTCAATCCACCAGGTTTTGGCACAGTGTGGTGGCCAGGACCACACACATTGTAGACGTTCCTGGTTTAGCCCAGTGCTTCTCTGAGTGTGGTCCCTGGGCCAGCAGCCTGGAAGGCAGAAATGCAAATCAGAAACTCTGGAACTGGGGCCTGAAGATCTCTGGTTAACACAGCCTCCAGGTGATTCTGATAAGGCTGAAGTGTCAGGACCTCGGATCTAGATCATTCAAGGCAGCCCCCTCTGATCTCAAATTGCTCTCAATACCACCCCCTCTCACCAAGGAACAGTCATCACCAAAGAAGGCAAGGCTGTGGATAAATGCCCCAGGCTCTCTGAAATCTGCATCAGGGAAGGAAGGGAAGGAACAATACTTCTGATGTGTTCTATAAGGTTCCTTAATGTTCCCCAGCAGAATCAAGCCCCAGTTGCCCAAAAGGGCAACCTACTCCTCGTCTGCACCTTCTATTAACTTTGTACCTCCTCTGCCTCACTCTTTCCCTCTCCACTTGCGCATTTACGGTGGCCACCCCCAAAATCAACCAGTTCCACTGAATTCTAACCCCGGCCTGCTTGAGATTGTCCCCAGGTATCTTCAGGCTTCCCTGATGGCCCAGTTGGTAAAGAATCTGCCTGCAATGCAAGGGACCTTGGTTTGATCCCTGGGTCGGGAAGATCACTTTCACTTTCCAGGTATTTTCCTCTGACTCCCCCACCTCCGCCACTGCTGTAGCATCTCTGAAACTTCTCATCTTTATCCTGAGTGTCTGAGAAACCAGTATCTGTTGTACTGGGCCAGGAGCACTGATGAACTTTGCTAATGATCGGGAAAGGCGGGCCCTAGAGCTGAGTTAATTTTAGCTGCAATTTTTCAATACACACAAGTGGAAGGAGCCAAAAGTCTGTTCTGAAACCTTCAGCAGAGCTAGTGATGCCAGGGTGGATGTGCATTCATGCCCCCGCCCCCAACAGGGTTACCTTACTTCTCCACTCAGATGGGGGATCCTGGGGTGGGGGGGTTGTGATCAGGTTCTCCCAGGGTAAGGTGATGACCACGAGCCAAGGGTGGCTCCTCTTTGGACCAGGGCTCCCAAAAGATTAGGTCCCCCAGGTTGCTATAACCAAGTTCCGAGGCCAGGCTTGTAGACCACGGCCCACATCCCTCTTCCCGCAACACCATCTGCCAGGAAACACGTGGGATCCCCCCCACCCTCATCCTCTCCTCCACTATCCTCCGCGAGCATCAGTGCAGGCAGACACCACTCCTGGTGAGTCATGTGTTAGTAAGATTCTAGTAGGATATTCTATGGGGCAGTGGACCTGAGCCGGGGAGAGGGGGAGGCAGTGGCTACATGGATATACTTTTCTGGGTCAACCCGGCCTGCCCCCTGCCTCTGTTCCAATTCCTATCTTCTCCTTTCTCCATGGGATATCTGGCAAGTGTGACTTGACATCTAGCTCTACTTCCAGAGCCAAGTTTTCCCCTTGCAGCCAGTGCAAAGAGCCTTGGGACAGAGCAGAGTCTCTACACTGGCCAAAAAGATAAGGCTTGATACAGGTAGGGCCCAGGCAAGAAAATTCCACCTAAAGGACATCCCAGAGAGGTGATGCTGAGACAGGAAGGCAGAAGACAGGCTTGGGCGGCAGAGGGCTCTGGGATGGAGAATCACATTCAAGGCTGCGAATGAGAGGGGACACACACAGACACACACACACAGACACAGACACACACACATACACAGACACACACACACAGACACACATACACATACACAGACACACACACACACACACACACATCCTCACAGCTGAGTTGCCCAGCTCAGTCTGTCGCTGTCTCTGTCTCTCCCTCAATCTCTGTCTCTTTGACTATCTCTATGTCTCTTTGTCTATCTCTAACTGGTGCTGTCTCTCGTCTCTCTTTTTCTTTCTGGGTCTCTCACTGTCTCTGTATCTCCATCTCTCCTTGAATATGTGTGTCTTTTCCTCTCTCTCTGTCTCTGCCTCTCTGATTCTGCTCCTCTTTGTCCCTCAGTCTAAGCCTGTCTATCTTTCTGTCTCTTTCTCTATCTCTGTTTGTCTCTCGGTTTCAGTCTCTGTGTCTTCCTGACTCTTTATCCAAGGAAAGCCAGGACGACTCCATGAAAGGTGGGGCTAGGGGCGCGCCTTTGAGAGAGGAGACCTGCCTACACCTTTAAGCGCGGGCGCGCGCGGGGCCTGCGCCTTTAAGCGCGGGCGCGCGCACGGCCCTGGGTTCCCGGCGAGGAGGCCGCGGGAGCGCCCGGACCCGGCCCGCCAGCCCGGCCCCCGCCCGGCCCCCGCCCCGGCCCCGGCGGGGGAGGGGTCTCTGAGCGCGGCCCCTCCCCCCTACGTCCCAGCCTGTGCTGCGGTGCCCCGACCCCGCGTGTCCCTGTCTGTCCGTCTGTCCGCGCCCAGGCCTCGCCCCACCCCGGCCCCCGGGGCTGCCTGGCCGCCCCCCGCCCCTACCGCAGCCGCCCCCCTCCCTCTGAACCAGCCCCCGCTGCATCCCGCGAAGCGAGTGGAGACGGCGCCGCCCCACAACCAGGACCCGCACCCCGAAATCGGGGAGCCTGCACCCCGAGACTGGATCCAGAGATCTGGAAACCTGAGCCTTGGAGCCTGATTTGGGGCTGGGACCCCGAGACCTGGAGCCTGAACAGCAGTATTTGGGGCTGAAATCGCAACATCAGTCCCTGGGACCCCAAGATTTGGAGCTGGAACCCCCAAGAATTGGAATATGCACCCCAAGATTTGGAGCCTGAACCTCAAGATTTGGAATCTGAATCCCCAAATTTGGAGCTGAGCTCTGAGTTCTATGCCTGGGACCTTCAAATCTGGGACTGGATTCTCATTTCTACACCCAGGAGCCCACTATTTGAGACTCGAACCCTGAAATTTAGGCCTCAGAGTCCAAGATCTGAACCCTGGCATTGCAAAGGGCCTAAACCTGAGTTTGGGCCTGAAATCCTTGCTGCTAAGCCGAATGCTGAAATTTGGGGCGAATCTTGACTCAGCGCCCCAATATCTAAACCCAGAACCCTAGCATCAAATCCCAAGATTGGGCTTGGGACTCAGATCTTAAACTCTCCATCTGTCTGTTTAGCATCCCAAGACTGGAGCTGGGAGATGGTGACTCCGGGCAACCTAGATTGGGGCCTGGGTCTCTAAAATTGGGCCCTTAAGAGGCCCAGTATTTGGAGATCTAAGACCCTAAGTATCAAGGTCTAGAGACTGTTTGGCCACAAATCTGAGCGGAGACACAACAGACTTGGGAGCAGGGAAGGCATGACCAGGCACCCCCTCCAGAGCCCTGACCCCTGACCCCTCGGAGCTTGAGGATTCTTGCTCCCTGGGGCGGCTTCCAGCTCAGGTAAGGCTATTGGGAGACCCTGTGGTGGGGAGGGACTTGAGAGGAACTTCATTGCTGGGGGTGGAGGTAAGGAGGACCATGTACCCCTGGGCACCCTTGGAATTTCCCCAGGGAACAGATGTCCCTTCACAAGAGTCTGCCTCGAACACTGTGGACATTTGGCCAGCCCTGCCCCTCTCTCACCTCCTCATCCCCAGCTGATGGCATCTCCAGGTCTGTGACTGCCCCCATCCCCCCGCCCCGCTCGGGCTCTCCAGCTTCTTCCTACCATCTGTCTTATTTGATCATCTCCAGCTGCCTCTCATGTCCACCACTCCTCTCTCCAGTGTCCTTTCTCCATCTCTTCCTCTCACTGACCATCTCTACTCACCTCTTCTCTCTCTCATCATCTTTGACACTTATGTCCACTGGCTCTTCTCCCGGGCTATCTCTGGCCCCCACTCCTCTCAGTGACCATCTCTGCCTGCCACTGCTGTGTTTGATCATCGTCTTTAGCACCCCTGTCCACAGCATCTCTCTCCGGCCACCTCTGTCTACTGTTTCAGTCAGTGACCACCCTTGACATCTCTGTCTGTAGAACCTCTCTCTAATCATCTTTCAGCAGCTCTCTTACCCGTGTCTACCCTGGACTCTAAGCCTTGACCCGTGACTGTCTCTGACCATCTTTCACCATCTCTCTCTACCATTCTTCTGTCTCTCCTCTCTGAGTTTCTCTATCCACCTTTTCCTCTGTCTAACCATCTTTCACTGTCTCTCTTGCCCTCTACCCACTCCTGACTCCAACTGCCAGTCTCCGACCATCCGCCCTCACTGACCACCTCTCTTCTCTCAGTCTCTCTTGCTCATTGATGCTCTCTGATCATTTCTAACATCTCTGACTGCCTTTCCTCTCTCTGGTGCCCTCTCCCCACACCCGTCAATCGCAGCAGCTGTCCCGTCTCCAGCTGTCTCTGACATGTCTGTTCCCTCCTCCTCTCTCTGACAGCCTCTCTGCCTTTTGACCATTTCAGACCATCTTTGACCATCTCTCCTGGATCTGGCCATCCCTGCCACTTCCCCTCTCTTTGGCCACTCCTCATCTTTGTGACTATCTCTAACAACCTCTCTCGTCTGGTCCTGTCTGGCTACTTCTAATCATTCCCACCACCCTGACCACCTCTTCTCTCTTTGGCCATCTCTGAGTGTCTCTCTTTGACCACATCTAAAGCTCTCTGGCTTACCTTCTCCCCACCCTGATCACTGCTCCTATTCTCTGCCTGTCTCATTTCTAATCACCTCCCTTCCCTCTGACTTTCTTTGTTCATTTCTTTTCCCTCTCTTCCCTCGTGACACATCTCTCTGAGTCTTTAACCATCCTCTCTGGCTTCTGGTCTTTCTGACCACTCCTCTCTGGCCATCGTTGATCAAGTTCTCTGCTCTCAGCCCACTGTGACCCTCTCTTCTGGTCTCAGACCACCCCGACCCCCTCCAGCACCCCTCTTCTGGCCCCAGCCCGCCCTAACACCCCCTCCTTTTCCCAGCAGGCCGCCCCTGCCCGCGATGGCCGTCCTCCCGCTGCTCCTCTGCCTGCTACCGCTGGCCCCCGCCTCATCTCCACCCCAGCCAGCCTCACCCAGCCCGTGTCCCCGGCGCTGCCGCTGCCAGACACAATCCCTGCCCCTAAGCGTGCTGTGCCCGGGGGCAGGCCTCCTGTTCGTGCCACCCTCACTGGACCGTCGGGCGGCGGAGTTGCGCCTGGCCGACAACTTCATCGCGACCGTGCGGCGCCGGGACCTGGCCAACATGACTGGCCTGCTACACCTGAGCTTGTCCCGCAACACCATCCGCCACGTGGCCGCCGGCGCCTTTGCAGACCTGCGCGCCCTGCGCGCGCTGCACCTGGACGGCAACCGGCTGACCTCGCTGGGCGAGGGGCAGCTGCGCGGCCTGGTCAACCTGCGCCACCTCATTCTGAGCAACAACCAGCTGGCGGCCCTGGCGGCCGGGGCCCTGGACGACTGCGCCGAGACGCTGGAGGACCTCGACCTCTCCTACAACAACCTGGAGCAGCTGCCCTGGGAGGCGCTGGGCCGCCTGGGCAACGTCAACACGCTGGGCCTCGATCACAACCTGCTGGCTTCCGTACCCGCCGGCGCCTTTTCCCGCCTGCACAAGCTGGCACGGCTGGACATGACCTCCAACCGCCTGACCACCATCCCGCCGGACCCGCTCTTCTCCCGCCTGCCGCTGCTAGCCCGGCCCCGCGGCTCGCCTGCTTCCGCCTTGGTGCTGGCCTTCGGCGGCAACCCCCTGCACTGCAACTGCGAGCTGGTGTGGCTGCGGCGGCTGGCGCGGGAGGACGACCTGGAGGCCTGCGCCTCCCCGCCGGCCCTGGGTGGCCGCTACTTCTGGGCAGTGGGCGAGGAGGAGTTTGTATGCGAGCCCCCTGTGGTGACCCACCGCTCGCCGCCCCTGGCCGTGCCTGCCGGTCGGCCGGCCGCCCTGCGCTGCCGGGCGGTGGGGGACCCCGAGCCCCGCGTGCGGTGGGTGTCACCTCAGGGCCGGCTGCTGGGCAACTCCAGCCGAGCGCGCGCCTTCCCCAACGGGACGCTGGAGCTGCTGGTCACCGAGCCGGGAGATGGCGGCATCTTCACGTGCATCGCGGCCAATGCAGCTGGTGAGGCCACAGCTGCTGTTGAGCTGACTGTGGGTCCCCCGCCACCCCCTCAGCTAGCCAACAGCACCAGCTGTGATCCCCCGCGGGACGGGGAGCCTGATGCCCTCACCCCGCCCTCTGCCGCCTCTGCCTCTGCCTCTGCCAAGGCGGCTGAGGCCGGGCCCCCTACTGACCATGGCGTCCAGGTGACGGAGCATGGCGCCACAGCGGCTCTCGTCCAGTGGCCAGATCAGCGGCCTATCCCGGGCATCCGCATGTACCAGATCCAGTACAACAGCTCAGCCGACGACATCCTCGTTTACAGGTGCAGGTCCAGGCGGCGGGCAGTTCGGGTCGGGGAGCGAGGTGGAGGGAGGGCTGGAGGAACACCTACTGATACCCCAGGCTGCAACACCGGAAGTGAAGCTGCAGGGTTACAAAGGAAATCAGGCAGAGAAGGCAAAAGGAATGTGGCAGCAGTGGTAAAAAGAAAGGAGGCAGCAAGAGTAAACAGTAACAGACAGAAAAAGGAAATCTGGTAGCAAGAATAAAAGGTAATCAGGACTTCCCTGGTGGCCTAGTGGTTAGGATGCTGCGCTTCCACTGCATGGAGCATGGGTTCGATCCCTGGTTGGGGAACTAAGATAGATCCTGCATGCTGCAAGGCATGGCCAGGAAGAAAAAAAAAAGAAGGTTAACTGGGCAGCCGGGGAGGCAAGGTTGAAGGGTTACGAGCAGATTTAAGTAGTAAAGAGAACTAAGTATTTCCAGATGACAGCTAGATTCAAGTCAGGCTGCAGGAAGAAAAAGAGATCAAGCAGGAGGGTCCAGGGATCATGGGGAAAATGGAGTGAGGCAGCCCAGCTGCAAAGGAGCTCAGTGCATGCTCAGTCATTTCAGTCGTGTCTGACTCTTTGCAACCCTGTGGACTGTAGCCCGCCAGGCTCCTCTGTCCAAGAGATTTTCCAGGAAAGAATACTGGAATAGATTTCCATGCCCTCCTCCAAGGGATCTTCTCGACCCAGGGATTGAACCTGCATCTCCTGCATTGCAGGTGGACTTTTTACCCACTGAGCTGCCTGGAAAGCCTGCAAAGGAACTCAGACCAGAAGTTAAAAGGAAAATGGGGGAGGAGGTTATATAGAGATTAGGCTTTGGGTTTGTACGATGTGACCTGCTCTATGTGTTTGGAGTTCTAACATGGTGACATCTCAGCTTTTTTTTTTTTCCAAATCAAATTCAAGCTAGTTCATGCTCCACCACGGCTAGGTGAACAGGACTGTTCAGTCTGGCATTGCTGGGGACTCCCTACTCCCTTCTCTTGCTGCAAACAAAACCTGGGTTACACACTTCAAGAGTGGGTTACCATGACAGTCATCCAGGCAAGATTGGAACATCTGCTGTGGCCACATGTGGTCACTGATGGTGGCTGTAACCCAGGTGCTACTGACATGTCTCACCCAAGTCCAGCTTTGCATGGATGGCTGGGGATGGCTCCCTGTCCTCTCTGTCAGGCTGGCCCAGGCTTGACACCCAGCTGCGGAAGAGTGGGCCTCCCAAGGTCTGGGGTCCATGCCTTGTAAATCCAGTATCTGGGTTCCCTTTGCCTCCCCACAAGCCAAAACCCTCAAAGATTAGTAATCACTTGATTTCTTTCTCAGTCCTGGAAATCCAACAAGCTTTTCTCCATTCCATTTCAAAGATAGCCATCTTCAGTCGATTCCACAGAGGGCCCACACCTGAAAATCACACAAGTCCCGTCCACCTTGCTGTGTGGGTTGGGGAGGATGGGACAAATGCCCTCCTAGATCGTCACCCTACTAGAGATAATCATGGAGTTCCCTCATTAAAGCCGCTGAAGAATAAAACAGGGATTATAAAACAAGTTAAATCTCCCAACAGGGCGCCCTGCTACAAAAGGAAATATAGTGAAATTGGGTACTAAAGATAAAAGGAAATGAGAAAGATAAGGATAAATTGAAACCAGGCCAGAGAGATAAAAGAGAATCAGGAGACAGAACTGGAACGAAATAAGGCAACAGGGAGGAAAAGAACTCAGCAGCGATGACTGAGGCACATCAGTTTAATGAAAACGGAGTCAGATGACAGGGCTCTCTGGCAAGCAGGCTACGGCTACAGCAATAATAATACGGCAGCGGGGCTCGGGGGACCTTCATTGGCAGGTTAGAAGGAAATCGGGCATCAGCACAACAGGGGATTCAGGTGGTTAGATTAGAGAGAAGTCTAGCTTTCCACTAGAGGAAAGTCAGGCAGCTGGGAAAGTGCAACCCAGTCCGGGATGGAGGAAAGTCAGAGGAACAGAGGGAAATTAGGTGAAGGCCTAGAGGGAGATGTGGAGGTGGAATTAGAGGGAAATTGGATGGGCAGGGGGATGGTAGAAAGAAATGGGCATCAGGCTAGAGGAATACCAGGCAGCCTCTTCTCTGGTGGTCCCGTGGTTAAGACTTCGCCTTCCCAAGCAAGGGGTGCAAGTTAGATTAGTGGTCTGCGAGCTGAGATCCCATACACCTTGGGGCCAAAAAAACCAAAGAAACAGTATTGTAACAAATTCAGTATAAAATGGTCCACATCAAAAAAGAAAAAAAGAACAAAGCTGGGCACTGAGTTGGAGAGATGTCTGGCTGGAGGGAACTCAGTGGTGGGTTGACAGGAGATGGGGTGATAGACTTGGGGGACTCAGGCAGTGAGCTAGGGGAGAGGCGGGTGGGGGAACCAGAGTGAAGTCAGGTGGGGGAGTGGAACAAAACTGGGCAGTAAGGCTAGAGGGAACTTGGGCTGCAGGCTCGGGGAAAATGCTGGAAGGGTGGCAGTGCAGGAGGGGAGCCAGGCGACGGGATATAAAATGAAACCTCACTTGGGAGGCCGTGGGGCTCACGGCAAACTGGGCAGCAGCGGGGAGGGGAAGCGGGCACCGGTGAGAATATAGGCACTGAGGCCAGAGGGAGATCAAAGGGACATTTGAGCAGCAGGAAAATGAGAAGGTGGACTGGGGTAAAGCTGGCTAACAGAATGGTGGCTGAAGGGTATCAAACCAAAGGGAATTCAGGCAGTGGTTACAGGGACCTCAGGGCCTAGGGTGAAACGAGGCAGTGGCCTCGGGTGGGGGGTGGAGGGGATCTTCCAGACTGGAGGGTTGGGGCAGGGTGCAGGGTGGGTGCTGGGCAGCCAGCGACCTGACCCCCACCCGCCTGTCCCTCCAGGATGATCCCGGCCGAGAGCAGCTCCTTCCTGTTAACGGACCTGGCGTCAGGCCGCACCTACGATCTGTGCGTGCTGGCCGTGTACGAGGACGGCGCCACGGGGCTGACCGCCACACGGCCGGTGGGCTGCAACCGCTTCTCCACCGAGCCGGCGCTGCGGCCCTGCGGGGCCCCGCACGCGCCCTTCCTGGGCGGCACCATGATCATCGCGCTGGGGGGTGTCATCGTGGCCTCCGTGCTGGTCTTCATCTTCGTGCTGCTCATGCGCTACAAGGTGCACGGCGGCCAGCCCCCCGGCAAGACCAAGGCTTCCGCGCCTGTCAGCAGCGTGTGCTCCCAGACCAATGGCGCCCTGGGCCCCACGCCGGCCCCGCCGGCCCCTGAGCCCACCGCACCGAGGGCCCACACCGTGGTCCAGCTGGACTGTGAGCCCTGGGGGCCCAGCCACGAACCCACGAGACCCTAGCCTGGCGCCCACCTCTACGGCCCAGAAGGGCGCCCCCTGCCGGGGTGGCAGGACCCAGACACCCCGTGGGACCTGCCTCGGACTCACCAAATTGCTCACGGTTTTTAAAACTCTGACGGGGAGGGTGTCGGGGGCACCGGGGCACAACAAGAAAGTCCTATTTTTCTAAACTTGGGCCTGGGCCCTTGCCCGTGTCTCTGTCTGTTGGGGGTGGGGGTTCGTTCAGGGGTCCGGAGTGGGATGCCTCCACTGGGGAGAGACCCTGCCCCCCCCACCCCCCCGGCCCTTTCTGAGGTCCCCGGATGAGCTTGAGGACGGTCGTCCCTTCACCCTGCAGACATTCCCTGAGTGTCCCCTCTGGGCCTGCCCTGTGCTGGCTGACTGTGCGACCCAGGCGGCCCCCAGCCCTGCCCCTCAGACAGTGATAGCTCAGGGCGATGAGAGACTTGGTGAGGAGGGAAGCCTAGGAGATGGCAGGAGCCCCCCAAAAGGTGTGGTCACAGCCTAGGGTGTGGTCAGGGAGGGCCTCATGAAGGAGACATGAGCTGACAATGACATCTGAAGGAGATAATGGGGCAAAGAGCAGAAGGAAAGGTATTCTGGGCTTAGGGCCAACACAAGCAAGGGCTTAGGACATGCAGGGCACTGGGGGAGCTGCGGTAGAAGTGAGGCAGGAGGCGTGGGCAGGGTTCAGGACCCCCAGGCTGAGGAGCTCAGACTCTGGCCCGATAGTTTTGGGGAGTCACGGAGGAGTCTATGTAAGGGAGGGAGAGGGTCAGGTTTGGGTTTTAGGAAGATCTTCCTAGCTGTCAGGACGGTGGATCAGAGACAAAGACTGTGGCTGGGAGCCTGGGGAAAACCAAGGCAGGAACCTGGGTGGGTGAGGACAAGGCTGGACCAGGGGCAGACGTGGGGGAAAGCAGCAGAGGGTGGGTGAGAACGATAGGAAGCTGAGTGGATCCGTTTTGGAGCTGAAGGGCTGTGGGGGAGGGGAGTGTCCAGGGGAAGGCCCAGGGCTCTGACCGGGGGAGGGACAGTGGATCTGCCCTGATACAGGACCAGGGAGGAAGGGCAGGTTTGAGGACGATCCTGAGGCCAGTGTGGGACTTGGTGGACATGGAAGGCAGCTATGCTCACCGTTGTCCCACCAATGCCACTGGGACTTGTTGAATATAGGGGTGGGGGCCCAGAGGGTGGGCATGCCATCAAGGGTTGGCAGCCAGGAGACCACTAGACCCCTAGTCTAAGACCAGAGCTAGGGACAGAAATGGGGGCTCTGTCAGCGGGGATGGGTCATCAGACTCAGGTCATCAGACTCTCCATATTTAAGGGACAGGAAAATAAATACCTGGGCTGAAAAACAAAGACTGAACAGCAATAGGTGGAGGGACGGAGTGAAGCAAACCAGGCAAATCAGAGCCAAGGACTCTTGTGTTTAATGATCTCAAGGCTGTGGTGACCTCAGCGAGAGCTGTGTAGGGGATTGGCTGGGAAGCTGCCAAAGCCAGCTGGTTTGACAGTAGGAGGTAAGAAACTATAGACAGGGAGTATAGACCCTGTGGTCCTGTGGGCCTTGAGCCTAGTTCAGGTTGATTGGGGCCTTTCTGCCCCTGTGTCTCTCCAGGGTTTGTCCTCGTTCAGTCTAGATCTGCCCTAGGCCTCTCCTTGGATACCAGGCCTGGAGGTTTGCACGATCAAACCCTGGGTCTTGGAAGTGTCACTGGAGGCCCAGGAATGGATCAGCAGTAGGAGGACCAGCACTCCCTGACCTCAGACCACCGCTGGTACCACCTCCAGAGGCAAGATATGGAGGGAACTCGGGTCTTGTCTTTCTTCCCTGCTGTGTGAGGGGTTTGATGAAGAGCCCAAGACTGGATTGGCCATGCTCATGATCTGGTGCACATGACTTGTCCTCGTGGAATAACATCCTAGATCCTGGCACACCTTTCTTGGTTGGGTGTAGGCCTTGGAAATTATCCTCCATTGACCAAGGGAACAGCCTGAGTCCCAAGGACCTGACCTGATCCCCCAAGTCCTCCAGCAGCATCACGAGGTCCTTCTTCTTCTTGTGTGTTACCCTCAGTGGCTGAGGTCAGGTGAAGCCATCAGGGAGAGTGAGGTGTTTTGGGGAAAGGGACCTAGAGAATGGGAGGATGGGATGGATACCTAGTGCCTGCATCAAAATACCACTTGCTGCCATAAGGGGGAGCCAGAGCGTGCCATCCTGCAACCTTCCTTCTAAAATTTGAACAATTAATGCCTGTAGTACTAGAGCATTAATGCAAAGTACTAGGGCTTCCCTTGTGGCTCAGTGGTAAAGAATCCCCCTGCCAATGCAGCAGACACAGGTTCAATACTTAGGTCCAGAAGATCCCCTAGAGGAAGAAATGGCAACCCATTCCAATAGTCTTGCCTGGAGAACCCCATGGACAGAGGAGCACTCTGGGGCTACAGTCCATGGGGTCACAAAGTGTCCAGAATGACTCAGCAACTAAACAACAGCAACAAAAAGGGATTTGATACTGAACAAACATAGGCCCGTCCTGCCCTCCCATATCTCACCATTTGGTGAGGGAAACAAGGGTCATATAAGCAAGTGGAGAGCATGTATGGTGAGAAGGTGGGTCACGCAGGAGAGACCCTTGGAACTATGAGACCCTATAACCAGGGTGCTTGGCCCAGGAAGAGAGTTTAGGGAGTCTTCCTGGAGGAAGTAACACCTGCTGAGATGCTCAAGCTAACTACTCAGTGGGTGGAAAGGATATTCCATACAGATGAAACAGCACTGTTGGAGGCTGCAGGGCTGGCGTGGGTTGGAGGGGAGGAAAAAAAGAGTGATCCTGTGTTTAGGTTGGAGAACTGAAAGGGGGCAGATGATGAAGGACCCTGTGGGCAACTGGGAGGATCCCGGATTTTATTCTCAGTGGCATGAGAAGTCATTGGAGGGTTTTGACCCATAAGGAGAAGAGTCCTCCCTGATGTCTAGGAAGCTCCAGTGGGGGTTCTGTTTACATGTTCATGACACAGGTGACTCAGGGAGACCAAGGAGGAGGCTACCGCGATGGTGCAGGCAGAAAAAGTAGCCAGACAAGGTTGGGAGCTGAAGTGAGGGGATTGAGAGATCTGAAATACTTTACCCAAGGCCTCCATTCCCCTACACAGAAGGGGACAGTGGGGATCACTGTCCAGCTGCCCCGTTCTCAGGCAAGATTGCAGAGACTGGGGAAGAAGAGTTGTGGGGCCTCGGTCTCTGATACCTGGGATCCATCCCTTAGATGAGGAAGGTGACTTCTCTATAGTACAGGAATTAAGGACCTCTTCCAGGTTCAAGTGCTAAGACTGAGGCTGTGGCCTGTGGGGCAGGGGAGAGGGGGATGTGAACCCAGGAAATTCAGTCCCAGAGACACATGCATACCCACACAGGCACAAGTAGTGAGGTGGGAGGAGGCACACGGGGGCAGGCTGGTTCCTCTAGCATGGTCCCCTTCTGCCTCTCCAAAAAGATACATGGACCATCCCCCAACCCCATGGAGAAACAATCCAACTCTAGGCAAATGATCATGTGTCTCTGTAGCTGAAAGTTAAAACGCAGCTCGTCCAACATTGCCCAGCTGGGTCCACCAGTTTTCTGAGCTCAGGGAGTGCAACTCTTTCCACTCTCCATCCCCCATCTGGCTTGGAGGATCCCCTGCCCATTTTTGAGACCAGCTTTCCTGGCACCAAAGCTCCAGGCTTCTGGAGGATTTTCTTGAAGACACTGTAGTTCTGATACCAGGACTCTGTCCCCTGTCTGCCTCCTGCCAGATCCTGAGTGTGGCTAACCCATGGTTCCTGAGTGTCTGGACATAACTGTGATTAAATGAGAGGCTTCAGCTAATGCCAAGACTTCACAACGCTACCTGGACGTGTATGTGGGAGAATCCGATGAAGGGTCCTCCGAAAGCGGATGTTTCTTTGCTAGACTGAACTTGGGCATGGTTCCTTCCTGATCACACCTCACAAAAGCAAGGATAGGTATCAATTCTCAGCGCTGCTCTGACCTGTGCAGAATGATAGGGGCCTCCCTGGTGGCTCAGATGGTAAAGAATCTGCCTGCAGTGCAACAGACCCAGGCTCAATCCCTGGGTCAGGAAGATTTCCTCTGGAGAAGGGAATGGCCACCCACTCCAGTATTCTTGCCTGGAAAATTCTGTGGACAGAAGAGCCTGGCAGGCTATGGTCCATGGGGTGGCAAAGAGTCAGACATGACTGGGCAACTAACACTTTCACTTTTTCATGCACAGCGATACCGGGAACAGAGTGGTAACCAACAGCCCTAGACCCTTCCCTCATAGAGTTCAAGTCTGGTGGAGCAAATAAATACTCACCAAACAATGGCAGCCCAGAGTGGTCAAGGCTGGGATGGGAGAAGCACAGGCAAGAATGATTAGGGCCTGTTTAAGCTGAGGGGACTCTGGGAACCCAGAAGGGGATCCTAACTGAGCCTGGGATGGGAGGTGGGGAGAGTCCAAGATTCCCCGAGGGCAGGGCCAGCTTCATGGCAGTGTGATCTGCGTGGATGCCCAGCGCCCCTTGTTTAAAAGGACCCCATGCTGACTGATGCCCCACTGTCACCATCGTGAAATTCTTAATGATTTTTGAACAAAGGACTCCAAATTTTCATTTTGCACTGGGACCCCACCCCCACCCCACATACTTGAAGGATATATGGAGAAAGCTGGGAGAAGAGAGTTCTCCCAAGAAAGAACACTGTATGCAAAAGAGAAGCAGGAAAGAGAGAGGATGGGCACTTGGAGAGATGGCCAAAGTTCCCTGTAGCTGGAGAACAGAGTGGGAGAAGAGGGCGGGTGACGGGGAAACTTAAGAAGTGGGCGGATGCCTGCTGCCAGGCTGAGGAAGTCTAACTGCACGCCAGAGGCACCGGAGCCATGGGAGGGGCAGGGTCTGGTGTGGATTTTAGAAAGATCCGTGGTGAGGAGGGTTGCTAGGGGCACAGAGCAAAGAACAAGGTTGGGATTGGGGGCTCATTTGCCTTAGGAGGGGTTGGGACTGTCTGACTGCTGTGGGCAGGCTTATGAAGAGCCTTGAATGCATGGGTGACTGACACTGCAGTGTACTGGGAGACTAATCAAGGAGATTCCACGGCTGAACCCAGAGAACCTGAACCCATTTTCACTGTTGAGTGTGGGAGGGGTAGGTTCAAGGGTGTTCCTGGTAAGTATTTGAAAATCTTTTTATATGAGAACTCACATGGGTAGACTGATGGAGTTGAATGCAAAATTGACGAGACTTTAGAGTATAAAACGTGACACTTCAGAGGACTTTATTCTGGGTATATTCTGGCTTCAACTCTCTACAGAATCCCTGGGGTACACTTGACTCTGGATAAAACATCAGTTCTTTGGGAATTTCCTCTTCATCCACAGCCCTGAATGCTGTGGTCCTCACCACCCTCCTGCTTCTCCACTCACCTCTTTCTGGGGCATCACCCCCAGCACACCCCAAAGCTTCCTTTTTCCTTCTCCGCTGAGGACCTCCACACCTCTATCCCGGCCCTAGGCCCTCCCGTGAACCCTGGGCCTGGCTTTGCTTGGCTTCCTGAACATCCTCCTGGGGCCCCTCACACCCACAGGGTCCAACCCTGGCCTCAGCTTCTCCCCCAAACTGCCTCTTCCTGAGTCCTGTCTCAGGGCAACCCCCATTCAGCCTCCTGAGCAGCGCCCCCACCTTCCTCCATTCTCTGGCCCCATTCTGTTCTAACTCTGGCCTCACCCACATGGGTCCCTGAACCTCCTCCCCCTGGGCTTCTGGCTTCAGTCTCACCCTCTGGTCCAGGGAATCTTCCTAAAGCCAAACCTGACCCTCCTGTGGGCTTCCCAACTGGCTCAGTGGTAAAAAAAATCCACCTGCCAATGTAGGAGACACTGGTTCGATCCCTGGGTCAGAAAGGTCCCCCTGGAGGAGGAAATGTCAACCCACTCCAGTCCCACTCCAGTATTCTTGCCTGGAGAATCCACACAGACAGAGGAGCCTGGCAGGCTACAGTCCATGGGGTTACAAAGAGTCAGACGCGACTGAACACCCGTGCACCCTCCTCTGCATGGAAACTTCCATGGCTCTCCAGGGGGCCCGGGACAGAGTCCCAGTTCCTCAGCCTGGCAGCGGAGGCTTTGCCCCCTCCCCTGTTTCCAGGTCCAGCTCCATCTCTAGCACGTATGTTCCCCACCTCGGTCTGGAAGGAAGTCACTGCTCCCGGAAAGACACTCACCTTTGCACTCCCACACTTTGTTCCCTGTGCCCTTGGTGGAGCCCCCCTCACCTCCTCTGCTTGTGATGAAGAGCCCGGGAGGGATCTTAAGCAGGTGAGAAATGAAGCTACTGAAAGTCGGTTCCTTCTTGAATTCTCCCCCTCCTCCTCCCACCCAAAGCAAGGGTTCTGGGTGGAAAGAGGCTAGGGGGTGCACATTCCTGGGACCTGGGAGAACGGAGGGGCTGGAAACTATATCCAAGGTCTCTTGCTTCTCCCTGTCTAGAGCCCCAGCCTTGTCTTTCCTCCCAGATCCTCCCTCCATGGACAGTGAGGCTCCACTGTCCTCTGGTTCAGGACGTTCTAGGAGGATGAGAGCAACTGGAAGCCATTGTCTTCCCATGGGAGCTCCACCATCAGATCCTCCAGACCTCCACATGGCGCATGTTTTGCCCTCTCCAGTCACTTTCATGACGTGGAGCCCAGCCTCCACCTTCCCCAGGAGTTCAGGTCCCCGGTCCTCCTCCCTCAGACTCAGGAAATCCAGTCCCCATGCTTGCTCTTCTGCAGAATCCAGGTGTCCAGGCACGTGGCACCCTTCTTTCCAGGATCCCAAAAGTTCAAGTTTGAAGCCTCTCCTTTCTCATTCCTCAGCAGGCTCAGGAACCCTGACCCTGTTTTCTTAGGAACCATCATATTTTCTCTCTCTCTCTCTCTTTTTTTTTGGCCACACTGTGTGCTAGTTCTGTGACCAGGGGTTGAACCCATGCCCCCTGCAGTGTAAGTGCAGAGTCTTAACC